GGAGTACAGAAACATGTCCTGAATGTTTTCTGGGGGTTTTTGGCTGAAATTCAGAAAATTCTAAAAATAATAAAATAATTATTTCTTTTTTAAGGTGGTTTTCCAAAGCACTCTCTTTGCCTTTAAGACTTAGAGTTGCACAAGTTCAAGACGACTTGCTCTCCCCCTGCTCCCTCAATTTGCTTATGCAACCAAAGCTTAGATGACATTAATTCAGTTTGAATTATTCTATGTATACAGTGTCAATATGGAACAAGAAGCACTTTAGAAGACCAATTTAAACACAGATATTTGTAGTCAGACTAATACAATCATGTAGACAGATTCAGAGTCAGTTTACATGCATTCCAATTTCATTCTAGTTAGAAAACCATCCAGTCAAGTTTAATTTATTTGACCAATTTGCAAAGCGTAAGGAAACTCAGCCGAGGGCATCAAATCCCTGATGCAGCAGCAATCCCTCTTTCTGGATGAGGATGTGGTGACAGTGGATTGTATTGGTTCATTAACATAGCATGCTATGACTCTTTTTAACAAGAACAAGCCTCCAGTTAGTATTCTTAGAATGTGGTATGAATCTTTGACAGGTTTTTGTCTGCTTTTTATTCCTGACCATTCATAGTTTTTATTTTTTCTGCTTTTTTTCCTCAGCTTTTCTGCCTTCCTCTTTCTGCATGTACACGACCCTGATTGCCATGACGGGGTGGTTTCAGGACTCAATACCACTGGCTGTTATGGGCGTGGCCGCCGGTGGAATAGTTGGCTGGCCATTTTCTGCCTTGATTGGGTAAGATGGTAAATAGTAACACTCCCTTTTTAAAAGTAAAATTCAGAATATCTGAATGACACCGTGTTAATTATCTGTGCAGGTTTCCGATCGCGTTCGACCTGCTGGTGATAAAGAGAGAGTGGAAGAGTTTCTTGATCTGGTGCGCTCTTGCTTTGCTTCTGCTGCTGGTGAGAATATTCACTATAATATGTTGTGAAATAAATAAACTTTTAGAAAAATCTCCATCTTGTTTTTGAGTCAAACTAGAGAGAGATTACATTTTGTTTTTCAATTATACAGAAAATTACACAGTATGCACTTTTTAATGTTTTCTGTGTTCATAAATGAAGAACTGTGTTATTTATTTTCGCCTCCATCTTGTTCACATTTTCAAGGTCCCTCTGGTGGCAGTGGACTCCTTCTTTTATGGCAAACTGGTGATTGCTCCTCTCAATATCCTGCTTTACAATGTCTTTACAGAACATGGGCCTGATCTTTATGGTAATTTGCACAAGTACATCACAACCGTTTCTCATTTTCTTAGTCACATTCTTTTAAAAATTATGTCAGATAAATAAACAACTCAGAGGAACATTATAATTTAATATTTCAATAGAATGCTTTAAACAATCTGAGAATTTTGTTTGTGAGGAACATTGTTCATTGTTTAGTGCCAGGATTTAATGTTTAACATTTAATGGCTGCTTTAGAAAAGTAATTATTACAAGATTTTTTTTCCATAAGATCAAATTAAAAATTGCAACACTTTTGTCCTTTTTAACATCTAATGAATTCGGATAGCTAACCATTAATTTTCACATCTAATTATACAGATTAAAATAAATTATGAACTTGTATATAATTTTATTTAAGTAATAACAAAGAAAGATTCTACTACTTTATTGTATTTTTTAATCATAGGAAAAGACAAAATACTGAACAGAACAAACATTAGTTTAAAGTATTATCAGATTACATATGTCACTAATTACATGTTTTATCCACATTTATTGCAGTTGCATATCTTCGTGACAGATGCCTTGAAATAAATGATGGGTAGTTGTAACATTTGGAGCGACTCACAGTTAAGTGATAATTTGACTGTTTGTGTCATCCTGTTCTCAGGTACGGAGCCGTGGCATTTTTACTTTCTGAACGGAGTCCTGAACTTCAACCTGGTGTTTGTTCTGGCGCTGTTTTCCCTGCCGCTAACCGGTCTCATGGAGACGCTGCTGCACAGGTTCAATGGTGAGACCTGACTCATTTCTTGTCTGTTTTATTTTTGTTTTAATGGTAATCAAAGCACTGAGGTTTCCATTTGTGACTCCTGGCGTTTTTTTGCAACAAGATCTCATGTACAGTGTCACAATTACAAACTGTTAGAAACATACCCATTTACTGGTGCTCTTCTGCACATTAGTTCCCCTTAGTTTAGGTATAGTTAAACATTACGCATGGTTAAAGTGTCTGTACTAATAGTCAGATTAGATTGTGATTTAACATGTTGATTTATTGTTTTATGTGTTTGTTTTTTTGCAGTTCAGAATCTGGGCCGCCCATATTGGCTCACTCTTTCTCCCATGTATCTTTGGATGTTGGTTTTCTTCACTAGACCTCACAAGGAAGAGCGCTTTCTCTTTCCCATCTACCCTCTCATCTGCCTCAGTGGGGCAGTAGCACTCTCGTCTTTACAGGTATAATTGGCTTTTTTCCAAGTGTATGGCTTAATGTTTTTGAGTGTTTAGGCAGATAAAGTATCTTAGTTTATTTTCCCATAGAAATGCTACCACTTCCTGTTCCAGCGATACCGACTGGAGCACTACACTGTTTCCTCCAACTGGCTGGCTTTAACCACTGTCGTTGCCTTCACAGTGCTGTCACTGTCTCGCTCTGTCGCTCTCTTCAGAGGTTTGTGCACAGACAAGAGTCTTGGCAGCAGGTCTATCAGCTCAATGTAAGGTCAGGTTTTGTTTTACGTTGTGTTTACAGGGTACCATGCTCCTCTGGACCTGTATCCAGAATTTCACCGCATCGCAAAGGATCCCACGCTGCACTCCGTCCCCGATGGCCGACCAGTCAGTGTGTGTGTTGGGAAAGAGTGGTACCGCTTCCCAAGCAGCTTCCTTCTGCCTCACAAGTTAGTACTCATTAGTAACAGAGTTTTTGCATTTCTGGATGATTGTGAGAAAATCTTAAAACATCCCTTTTGTTAACTGAAAGACATGATATAAGTAATAAACCATTTTGTGTGGTTACAGGAGATTTACCAAAAGATTGCTAATATCACAGGAATCCCACAGTCTTTAAAAACACATAAATACAATTATGATAATAATACATTATGGAAAAAATACAGCAATATATTTTATTCCTCGTCTCAATGTCAACAAGTTCTACTCATCCATCTCTACATTCATTTAAACTTTTGATCACTCATCCATCTGCTGCTTGTTTCTCCATCCATTCCATTTGTCAATCATCCATCCTTTCTTGGTTTGTCCATCCTCGAGTTGCCCATCCATCTCCACTTGCTCTCTTTAAGCTCTGCAGAAGCATCTTGTGTAATTCCATGGGGACCTTTTAGATTTATAGGTTTAAAACGTACCAAGAGTGTATTAAATCTTGAATTTTGATGAGACAGAGGTGACGTTGGTTTCAAATAAAATGCTGTTGTCTTGATTTATCCTTTTCCTTTAAGCTTTCTGAGAGTTTTTCCTGCCAAATCATAATGATCTCCTCTCATTATTATCCAATTACCAGAACATACTTACAGAAAATACTTTTATTTCTGTATCTGTTTTAATAATTAGAGCGGATGATTCTTATCTTCTTTTGTAGCTGGCAGCTGCACTTCATTCAGTCAGCGTTTAAGGGACAGCTTCCTCAGCCGTACGCCTCTGGGCTTCAGGCCACGCAGATCATTCCAGCCAATATGAACGACCAGAACCTGGAGGAGCCTTCCAGATATGTGAGACCATGAGACATAATGATGTTTGGCATTGCGTAGGTAATAATTTCACTGACCTGTGAAATTTCTTTTTTGTGCAGGTAGATATAAAACAGTGCCACTATCTTGTGGATTTGGAGACAGATGAGGAAACGCCACTTGAGCCTCGCTACTCAACCAGTAAAGAAGAGTGGTCGGTCATTGCTTATAAGCCTTTCCTTCAAGCTTCAAGGTACTTTGACAGACTACGACAGACTTTCTGACAATTTCCAGTTCTACACTTGATATTTAAAATAAACATGCTATTTTTCTATGTTCACAGAAGTTAAAAGATGCGTGTTTTAATAAGTTTTTTTTTTCTTTTCTCAGATCCTCTCCTCTCTTCAGAGCTTTCTACATCCCTTTCATATCAGACCATCACACCACCTACAGGCGGTACATGATCTTGAAAGCACGGCGACAAAAGCAGCCTCGTAAGCGGGCCCAGGGCTGACACTTGGACCTGATCCTTCTCCCTATCCCATCCAAGATTATTGAAAAGAAAATTAGGAGTCAGTTACATCCGATCCACGCAGCCGGTGTTTGTGTGTCAGTGTGCATGTGGTGTGGTTTGTGTAAAAAAAAAAAAAAAAGTGTGAATTAGCAGACTCTTTAAAGACGTCACGTCTGCTTTGGGCTGGAGCGATTGTCAGAAGATGTTCTGAATGGAGATGTGATTGCCAATCATCAGCGGAGCATTTTTAAACATTTTTTACTTTTTCGTCTTTGTTTGTACATTCATGTCTTAAAGGCTTAAGCAGAAACAGGATTTTACACTAAATCAACCTTAATAGGCCACGGCACAACAAATCCAACTGTTTTCTGTTTACGCTGTACTTGAAAACGTGGCCTGAAATGAAGAATTTCTCTGAACATTTGATCTGAGTTATGTAAAGTCTGCTTGTCTGGAAATGATAAATGAATGAGGGTGTGTTGTTGACAGAGTTCCTACACAATTTTCTCCTCCCAGTGTTTGGTTTTTGCAGGTTTCATCTTTGAAGAGCGACCACTGCAAATATTTCTTCCATAAATCCATGGTAAAGTTCGGTTTTTGTATTTCAAAACTTTCTGCCAAAATATTGACCAAACAAATCTGGAGAAGTATGAAATTTGGAAACGACAAATGTGTAGGAACTCTGTGTTAATTTAACTTGTGAATAATGTGAATAAATTCATGATTGACTGTGTGTGCTACTTTGTTTTCTCCTTTTTCTCACACTAAAAATCACTTAATGACCTGAGTGGTTCATTTCTAATCATTTTATTTAAAGATGTTTTCATGTAGCAATCATACAAACTCATCTCACTTGCAGGAGAGTTGTCAAAGGATTACACATTCTAAATAATAATAGTGAAAATGCATACTTTCATTCTCTTCGATTTCATGCTGTTATGTATGGCGAGGCTGGAGCCACTTCATATGAATTCAGAGCAGGATCCACGTTTGAACCGACTCTGTAGGCAAAGGATAATGATAAATCACACAACAGTTTTGTGACATCTTACATTTTAAGGCAGTATCCAAAAACACAATACATATAAACAGTTTAGAGTTTGGTCTGAAATGCATCTGGTTTTAAAACAAAAGTTTTTCAGGCACTGAACACAATTATCCATGACATCAATATTTATTTGAGTGACAAAGCAAGGGCTGCATGACAAATTCATGCAAAAACACTCTTACACAGGTTTTCTTTTAAAGTTGACAAAATCTATTTTTTTCTTCAACTAGCATCAGCTGCCTCTGAAAGTTGCGTCTTTTCGTTTTTGTCACTTTTTGTATGATTAATCGGTGAGCTGTCTCCCTTAATGTGAGTAGATCACTTAAGGCAGGTCCTGAGATATAATTAAGACTTCATCAGGTTAGCATTCCATCTTATCATTACAAAACTGAAAATAGACTTTTAAAAGGATCAAAATAAGTTGTTTTACTTTTTCCATGCATTGTTTTTTAAGAAACCCTCTACCAGCAAGAGCTGACATATTCATGTTAGTGAGATGAGATTACGCAGCACAGGAGCAGCTAACCTCAAGGTGAGAGGAGAGATGGATTACTGTGTCACGAGATCTACACTCAGATTTTTAATCCTTAAACCCCAAATGACCAATGAACTAAAAGAGGTCATCTGAGGTTACTTTAAATTATAAAAGAACATACAAAACTTATACATATTAGGATTGCAGTTCTATGCGTCCCATTCTGTAGAATTTGTAATCTCATCTCTAACCAACCTAGGCCCACAGAATGCAGGATTTTAATAGAATTGATGCTGAGAAAACTCAAACGACCCTCATGTTGTGTTATGCAGACACACTGTACTGATGAAGATCCACTCACATCTGGTTGCTGATTGCTTGAGGCAACCACTTTATTTCAGTTGATAAATATTGGACGATTCAGACTTTTGTAAATGAATTTATCTGGTACTGTGAAAAACTATTTCCTCTCTTATGTCTCATCTTTTAGCGATTTCTGGCTCTTACCTGTTTTTCTTAATAGAATGAATTTTAATTTCAGAAAAAGATAACAGGATTAAATACAAAATGCAGTTTTTCTATGATGACCTCAATTCCTGTGAAGGAATTTTGTCCCTTTATGTCCTAAAATAGCAAACAATAACCACAATATATCACACAGCTACACCATGTTTGGGTGTCACTAAAATCTCATTTTGCTACTTCATATTTTCCCAGAAGTCTTGGGGATCATCATGAATGTTTGACAAACTTGCGACTGGCCTTGTGTCCTGTTTGATCAGCAATGCAGGGTTTTTTGTCTGCTTTAAATGTTGTGGGTACTTTTATGACCTGGAAGAATCATTGAGGCAATCTTGAAGTAGTTTTGGTTCACCACTGTATGTTTTCTTCATTTGTGGACAATGGCTTTCACTGGATTCGATGGAGTCCCAATGCATTAGAAAAAGCGTAGTAGCCTTTTCCAGATCTAAACTGATAGATGATCTTTCAGCCTACTTCATGTTGCCAAACAGATTCTACTTGAGTGGCTTCTTAAGTCTCCCTTAATAATCTTCCATTGGGAAATTTTAACTTCAGCCAATATCTGTGACAAATTACAGTTAATTCATGAGTTTACAAGTGGAGTTTACAACCTTTTCATAAAATGGCATGTTAATTTGGGTTGCTTTTTCTTTTTTTAAATTATCTCACCATGATAAAACTGCATTTTTAATTTTCTAACTATGTAGGTTATCTTTGTCTAATTTAAAGCAAAAGTTGATTAAATCTGTAAGGGCACAAATAGCTTCTCCAGCACTGTAAACTCCCTTCTGATGCAGGTTTAAGTTGAATTTTACACCTTCATCACATTACAAAATCACTATGCAAATATGAATCCCATCAGACACAGGACAGGGTTAATGTTCCTAAATGTGCATCATCCTGAGCATTATGCGCAGAATGATGCCAAGATACATGGCAACATAAGAAGCTTTAAGTATTTAAATGTGTCTGACTGAAATGACCAAACTTCAATATTCATACGACCAACAAAGTGAGGGTGATTAGTGAGTAGAAACAAAATTCATATTTCCAACTTTAGATAAAAAAAAAACAAAAAACAATTAGGTCTTGCACATGCACAAATTTCATCCCTTCTTTTATCCCTGTTCAGTCGCTCTTACAGTGGTGTGAGCAGACTCGAGAGAAAAATCAGTATCTCTCTCTTTTTATCCATTCCTGGTCATTGAAGTACCTCCCTCCACTGTCAAGGTTCAGGCCGTTTCTGTAGCAGTCCAGGTTTGTGTGGAAGGACTTCCGGTTTGAGTATGTTCCCAGACTGGTTTGAAACGCCTCGTGCCTACCGCTGGTAACGTATGTCTGGTAGAGGTCAACCTTTCCCGTTTGACCTCCAGCTTTAAGTCTGGCATCATACAAGTCAGTGCCTGCTCTGATGCTGCTGTCAAACAGGCCATGCTCTCCATACACAGGGCCGCTGTAATGCTCACTTTTCGTGGTGCGGCGGCCCAGGCTTCTGTCGTAATACTCCCTGTTTTTGGTGCGACCCAGACTGCCATCGTTCAGTACCCTCTTAGCCGAGCGTCCCAAGCTGCTGTCGTAGAAGTCACGGGTGCGCTGGCGCCCGAGGCTGAGGTCGTTGAGGTCAAAGTTCAGAAAGTCGCTCTCTGTGCTAGCAAGAGTTACGAAGCCGCTTTCTGTGTCCCGTCCGCCAAGATTGTCGTAGTCGCCCGTCGGCGTGTCGGGAGAGGAGCACAAAAAGGAGGTGTTCTTTGTTTGTGGGCGAGCAGAAACCAGGTCATCATCCTTCTGGGAGCGGATGACGTTGTAGACGTCTGTAGTAGTTGGACTGGGATCTGTTTGGCAAACTTCTGATTTCTGTTCGTTCCTCCTTCTGTGTCACACATAAGGATAAGGAAAACACCCAAAGTAATAAAGCCTATTCAAAACTCCACTTTTAAAACAATTAACTCTAATCACTTGGGTTGATGCATTTACATGCTGGCTAAATGTCTTTCAATCAGGGTTCTCTAGAATAGTTCGCAGTTGACAATATTTTACTTGCAGTAGACACCAGTCAGATCTCAGTTTTATAACGTGGCCACATTTCAGCCCTGAAATGATTGTCGGTACCAATCATTTCAGGGCTGTTCAGGTTAACATTGTTGAACTGATCTTCACAGTTTCTGGATTTGTATCATATAGTTTTGTTTTCGAAGTGCAGGTTGTACACGGTAGCTTTTTCTGTCCCATGATCCAGTTTGGCATTGGTTGTAACTCAGCATGGACTTTTAGAAAAATAATAACCTAAGAAAATATACCAATTAGATTTTAGCAGCCGATTGAGCGGTGTTACTTAATAGGATATTTGTAGGATTTTGGTGTGTTTTAGGATGGCAAAAATCTACTTTTGACGCTTTATCTAGCAATTAGCTTTTTATGTACATTAGCTAACAACTAATGATAACTCCATCAAACCCCACTCTTAAAAAAAATGTGACTTGTCCCCTCAAAACTATTCTGAAAAACTTTCTTCAGAAAACTACATTGTCTTGCTTTATTGAAGGAAGGTGAGATGATCTATTTGGGTTTAAGCTTGAAAACTGCTGGAAAAAAGTGTGAGCTGTGGAGCTGCACAAGAACAAAAAGTTTTAAATTCAAAACTTGTGTCAAATTTAAAGTCTGCAAACACTGCCTTTCCAAAGAAATGAATTAGTCCCTTAAATAGGGTTATTATCTTGTACAATTTCAAGCACTATGCATAACTGATAAGAAGTCTTATTTTTATTTTCTGTTATTATGCAACTCATCTTTATCTTCTCACCGTCTGAGCAGCACTTTGAAGCAGCAAACTCCCATCACTGTCAGAAGCAGCAGGATTAGTGGGATTGTGGGGATGATGACGTAAACTAAATTCACGGCTACAAGACAGAAGTGGTTGTTAGAAACTAATATTTTGTTATGAGTGTATAACTTTTGGCAGTAAATGCAGACTTTAAATGACCTGTTCGTCTTTCTTGGTTGTCGTCACTTGGATCCCAGGGGAGCGCAGATGGAAGAGAGGCATCTGCAAAATAATGACATCTCAGGCTTTTTACATATATACATACTGCTTAAAGTAGCATAAATGTTCTATATCAATGTGTTGTTATGTACTTTACCTTTCTGACTGGAGTTGGGAGACAGAGTGGATGAGATTGGCTTTTCTGTGAAAAATATGGAAATACAGAAATTTAGAAATATTCAAAGTGAAACAGATCATTTGTTTTCAGCTGTACCTCCTGTGTATTTGCAGATGAAATTGTTTTTGGTTTCGCAGTTGTCATCGTTCCACTGGAACATGTAGAGCCCACCGTGTCCGGCCGGAGCAGACGGTTGGTGGTACATCACCACACACACTTCATAGCCGCACGACGGCTCATCAATGTGCCAGTTCCTGAAACACACAGTTGGAGCACATTTAGTGTCTTGGGAAAGACTTCATATAGCGCTGACCTTTATGCATTTGGTCACATTAAAACCAGAGATTTTCATGTAGTTTTCTTGTGATAGATAAATACAAATGTAAGAGATAAATGGGTTCCAAGAATCTACAAAAGTCCATTTTGATCAGTTGTCTTCATAACCCAAATGATTGGTAATTGGAATAATTTTATGATCTACTTCCAAAGATCAGCATCAGTTGTGCAGCAGAAACTTAATATTGTTGAGATAGAAACTTTTGCTTGGAAAAACAAAAGTTTTGAATAAATCTGTTTTGACATTGATTCCCCCCTTTGATTTCTGTGATCCCATATTATGCAATTATCCTGAACACTGTTTTACCTCAGAATGGTTCTCTTTGACTAATAGAGGATTGTTGAACTTGATTTAGTTCAAGTCTTAATTTATTTAGATAGAATAAATCTATATAGATTGCTTCTCTAATTCAGCCTAAACCCTGCCTGATAAACCAGGCCAAAAGTGTTATGATCATAAAATCCACAGATTCCTTACTTTTGCAAGACACTTAGTTTGAAAATTCTGCTGATCATCTAGGTAAAGTCAAGAATGATTAGAGTAAATAAAACATGTTTTATAACCTGTCTCTGGCATGTTTCTCTTTTTGTTGCCAAATTGAACTCACTGTTGGCAGCATCATTGCTGTTGTTATCTTGATTAATGCCTCCTGTTGTATTTCAATTAGATTTGATGTGCACCTAATTCAATGGCCACGGAGTGGGTGTAACTCAGCCGCCTGTGTTTTACCTAACTGCTCAGGAAATAGAAGACATGCACATTTAAATTTATAGAAAGTTTGAAGGAGTTTGGGTAATTCAGACCTGAATACTTGATCTCCTCTGAGCTCTGTCAGAGGAGATCAAGTATATTTGTTCATGAATGTTGGTAGGATGGAAGAGGAGATGGAAATTGGATCGGAAGCTCGTCTGCCATAATTGAGGTTTTGCCTGATGTATTGACTTGAAAAAAGATTGAAGCAAAAAGGCAAAGCTTTTGATTTACCAACTGTCTACCTTGGTCATGACATATAGATCATGGCTGAAGGAACAAGACACAACTGGCTGAAATGAGCTTCCTCCATCAGGTGGTCAGGCACAACCTTGCAAATCAGGGGAGAAAGTTTGTCATCTGGGAACTCAGAGTAAAGTAACTGCACATTAGAGTCAATTTAGGTGGCTCTGTTTTCTAGGAATGTTGGGAAGGAGAATCTGGGAAGACCCAGAACCCACTGGAAATCTCATACATGGCTTATGTTCTGGAAACACGTTGATATTCAGGATAGAGACTACTTACTCCTGCAACACGATTTCAAATGAAGAGAAGACAACAGACGGAAATTCAGGATTTTTTTAAAGTGAGATTTGTGAAGAAGTGGCTAGGGAGAGGGAAGTCTGGGCCTCCCTTCTGGGCTCCCTTCCGCTTATCCGGGATAGTCTGGGCTGCTACCCCGGCCACCGATGGATGGATGGATGGATGGATGGATGGATGGATGGATGGATGGATGGATGGATGGATGGATGGATGGATGATGGATGGATGGATGGATGGATGGATGGATGGATGGATGGATGGATGGATGGATGGATGGATGGATGGATGGATGGATGGATGGATGGATGGATGGATGGATGGATGGATGGATGGATGGATGGATGGATGGATGGATGGATGGATGGATGGATGGATGGATGGATGGATTTGCTCTAAACAAAAATGAAATGAGTTTCTGACAAAAAACGATTCTGTGACTGTGGAGCTTATAAAAAAACAAAACATGAATGACCCTGCTGACCCCTCCACTCTTACCTGAACGAGGATTTGCTCCCGTCCAGCCAGAAGTACTGAGATGAGCAGTCCGAGCTGCTGTCCTCGTGTCCCAGTCCACGCCGGAGGCCTATCCAGAAGTCTCCATCCGAGGGACGGAGATCGCTGATGAGCTGCTCTACGACCTTCTGCTCGGACGCAGACTCGATGCTCAGCAGCTGGCCTCCGTCTCGTTTGCAAGTGCTCTCTGCCTCCTCAAAGTTCAACTTCCAGCGCAGCTCTGAGAAATAGGCCAGTTTGTAACAAGGTCTCCCTTTTCCTGTCTTGCACACTCTTTGGCCTGGACAGAGACACAATGAAGCAGATGTCAAGTAAACACGTGGGATCTTTTCTCTACTAGTTCCTAACAATGTGGCAAACATTTACTGAGATACATGCTGAATATGTTGTCTGTGTACCTCTCGCTTCAAATATGTCTGCTTCAGGAATCAAAGTCCAGTTCAGAGTTCAGAAGCCAAAACAAAGCATATCCTCAGATTAATTCAAATATTCTTGACTTTGTGTTGTGTGTTTTTAAGAGGGGCTTACCTGTAATGACGCTTGCTGCTGCAGACGGATGAACACAAAAGAGCAGGAGAAAAAAGGCAGTCATCACCAGGTCCATCTTCATTCACTGTTTTCAGTTTTCTACCAGAACTTCAACTGAAGTGTCGTCCTTTTCATTTCTGCTCATCTGTCAGGTCGTTAAATTGGTTCAAACAAATCCAGAAAGTCCATCTAAATTCCATAAAAGTGTGAAAAAAAGTTTGGAAAAGTTTAAATTTAAAGACTAAAATGATTTATTTTACAAAATGGGGCAAGAGGGACAAGTCTCCTGTTGTATCTAGTGAAAAGGCTGTGTGTGTGTTTCAGAAGGTTGAGCAGAGAGAGGGGAGGAGAAAAAGACTTCATCTTTGGGAGGGGGGCTGTAATCTGTTAAGAGCAGTCTTAATGATAAGAGAAGAGGATACATTGATCGCTAGACATCCAATCGCCCAAGTGGTTCTCATTGTAAATGCTGACAAGAGGCAGATTTCACTCATTCCTTTATTACTTAAGCTTTCGATATTATCATCACAAAAGTGTTACATGAAAACGATCCCTCTTAACTCGATCAGGGATCATTTAAAACATTATTCCCAGCACTCTTACTGGTTGCAAAGCTGCATAGATCTTTATTTGACATCTAAGATCGCTAATGAATAAAAAAAAAAGTAAGGACGAAAGCTGAGAAATGCACTTTACATACTTGGAAATAAGTGTCAAGGTTTGATTTAGATGCATTGCCTCAGTTGGGAAGACATGACTTCACCTTTTCAGATGAAGCTTTCTGCTTCTTTAAATCAATAAGCAGAGTGCAAATGAAACAAAAGCAAAATCTGTCTTGAACTGTAGAAGAAGCAATCTGTATTTTAACAATAAATAATGCTCACCATTATCAGTAACTATTATTAGTGGGTGGACTTAGATGACATCTTTTAAGCATTCATTGTCATATTGAAATGAAAGATGAGAAAAACATTTCTGTACAGTCAGTTTTACAGGGGCATCTGCTGTAAAAGCTGGACTCATCTTTCACTGCAGCAGCTTGATGTCAAACTGAAAAATGACTAAAAATATGACTTCCAACCGGACCGCATGTAATCAGTTGGGAACCTTTTTTATGTCAAGAATTTTATTTTTATAAATAATGTAAAGTAAATGGGAGTTAGGCATGCTTCTGATTTATGTATCCCTTTATTAGGTTAAGAAAGGAGTTCTGATTAATAATCTAGATGTTTTTTTGTTTATGGGGAATAAATGTACTCTGACTATTTAAAGTGAACACATGCACTTTTTGGATCAAATGTTATTTGGTTTATCTTTTAATTAAAGCCAAGTGCAGGCAAGTTGTAAGACAAACCTAAAAATCATCATTTTTGTAATCCTTCTGAATCTTAAGGAATCATTTTGATTATTATGACGGCTTTAGTCCATTTTACTTACTGGAAAAGCTGGTGAATTTATCTAACAGTTTTAAAACTGTTTAAACTGAATTTAAAAATTTTAACCTCTTGTCTTGTTTTTTAAAATGATTAAATCAGTACTTAACAAAAATATTACTTATCAAGCTAAAATCAAAGAGGCTTTTACTTCACTAAACAGAAATTGACTGTTCATCGGTCTTCATGATGATGTTTATTCCTTAATGATCTCCAATAAACCCATTTGGGTTAGGGATTGAATTATTCACAGGTGGAATATATGTATTAATTTGATAACTTCTGAAAGCAGTTAGTTGCACAAAATTATATTTAAAGGCAATGAGGGAAGAGTGCAAGAGTTTTTTTCACAATCATGCACAACTTCGAGTGGATTCTCAAGAAAACATATGAAGGTTTGGGGGTTGGAACGTGACAAAATGTAAAAATAGTCTAATGAGTTTGAATGCTTTTGCATCTAGTGTTCACACTGGTAAGTCAGAACTCAGAAGTTGCTAAATTTGCATAACCTGATGTTTAAATTTACTACAAGAATAGAAAACATGTCATGAGGGTTCAGGCAAATAAAGCTTCATTGTCTATCTGTGCAATTTCATTTTAAAGTAACAGGATCAGCAAAAAATATGCATTCAATGCATGCAATCTTCTTTTCTAGAGCTCAAAAGAGGGGAAAACGTGTATGCATGCAGTTCCTAATGGCAGCAATTTCTGAAATGGCCTATAAGGTTGATTTAGGGCTCTCAGTGAGACAGATCAGCCAGAGTTTAAACAGCAGGATGCTTCATCAGGAATATGCTGTGTGTGCTAGCAGTGCACAGACGGTGAAGAGAGGAGGGGGCTTAACGGGGCCTGAAATTACCGCCGCTCATGCACGCTGCTCTATCCAAACACCGCTAATCAGTTTAGGTGTAGATTGATTTCAGTGAAAGACGAGGGTTCAGCTTCGGTTAAATAGAAGGCGGAGAATGAGGCAGTTGTGATCCAGATAGAAAAGAAGACGGAGAGGTTAGCAAGCCCTCAGGAGGGATTCAATAAGCGTAGGGCCCTGGCTTAAATATCCTCCCTGTTTACGGCATCTGAGACCTGAAGAAGCTTTCATTCAATTAAGCCTCAGCCATTCGTCCGTCATCACACACAGTCTGTCTTCTCTTGTCTCTGCCATCCTCTCTGATCCCACTGACCTCCTCCCTCTCTCACAATTAGAAGGAAACCAGACAAATGTTCCCAGGGGGAAGCAGTACATCATGCCTCTGTTGCTCCACACACACAGAAGCAAGGGTTCAACATTAAGATTGAGACATCAAAATTTTCTGTTATACTGCCACAACCAATATGCATTAGTACAGAGGTTTACAAAAGTATTCTTTTTTATTATTATTATTGAAAGCTGGCTGGGTGGCAAAACAAAATAATTTGAAGCAATGAAATGGCTCCAACCGCAACAAATCATTCCTGATGTAATTGCCTTGTTTGAGTCGGGGTTGTAAAAATACAACAGCTGACAAATTCAGTATCGTTTCATCTCACGGCCATAAAGAGAAAAAGAAAAACCTAATTACACAAAAGAATAACTCTCCACTAAATTTAATTTAAATGATCTGGCCGTGGCACAGGTCCAAATGGAGTGTCCGCATTGCGTACGTCTGCACCGGGAGCTGGAAATGGGGCTTGACTCACTGACCCGGAGGGGGCGGGCGAGCTGGAGAGCTTGATCAGCAAGAGCTGAGAAGCCATAAAAGAGTTTGGATGAAACCTTTTAAGAGCTGGAGCAATTCCTCAAAGTGCTCCTTTTTTCATTTTCAATTTTGGAAAAGAGAATTATTTAAGAATTACTCCTTTGGAACGAAGAAACTATTTGTTAGAAAGTTCTGTCATTTAATAGAAAATGCCTTTTTGCATATTGATGAAAGATAAGCAGTTTGTTCATTTGAATATATTGAGAAAATAAATGTAAAAGCTCTGTTGTTAAGAAATGAAGTTTTAAGATCAAAATGTTTATAAAGTCCCTGCCAAAGGTAAAAATCGAAATTCAAACTACAACAAAAGCAGTATAAAAAAGCATTATTAGGTTGTTACTATGTTAAGACAACTATCAAAATATGAATATTGTTTTTGATATTGTTTACAAAGCATTTTCTAGTTCTTTTAATTTTTTTATTTAGGATTTTAAGTTGCCTCAATGGTGAGATTGTTGAAGATTTAAACTGTCCCAGATCTACAGCAGGTTTACATCATTATGCATCTAAATCAGATTCTTAAACTAATGTTCCAGATTCTTTCAAACAGTTTATGGAAATTAAAGTGAGTTTTTTAAATTGATCCGGGTATTTCTTAACTTAATGAGATTCTAATAAAGATAGAATCTCAGTTTCCGTTGGCAATTTGTAGGTCATGTCGCTTTGCTCTGCATTGGCTGCTTCTCTTGTTGATTCTTCTGTGCTGCTGCTGTTGGGTTGTGCAAGGACTCGGATTTGGTTGGTCATTTGTGGGAACTGATGTCTATTTGTTAGTTTGTCTTGGAAAGTAATGATTTGTGCAACATCTGATAAAAAAAAAGAACTGTTTCCCTCAGGCCATGTGGGGCATGTGAGACACTATGTGGTTTACACTCAAATGAAAGAGTCACAGATGATTGTTCCCATTTAGTATTTTAAAGCTAAATAAAAAGATGAATCTGTGTGCTGACTCCTGAGTGTTCACTATTTGCATAAAAAAATGATCACTTTAGTTTTGCTTGATTTTCAGCTTAAAAAAGTTACGGCAAATCCAAAAAAGTAATTATGTTTGATGCAAGAATGAGAAAGCCCAACTTTCTATAAATAAAATGACAACAGTCAAATTGCCATGATAGCTTTAATCCAAGATACAGTTATTTTCCAGATTATCTGCATCTTTGAAACAGCAGAACATACATTAAAACCTGATTTGATAGACACATAATCATTCATTCATGGTTAACAGAGGGAGCATTTTGATGGTTCATTTTCAAACGCTGCATGAACACTGTGCCTGTCATGTGGGGTACAACCAAAAGGTCAAAGTCTGAAGAGAGCAAATGTGTGAGTTTAAAATGCCTTAAGTGCACATTTTATGTTATGATCAATTATAGCATGCAGTTATGCTCAGTTTTTCAGAAATTTCAGTGGTGTGTAGTTTTCATTATCATCTCCAAGGTTCTGAGAAAGAAAAGGGATCATTCTAAACAGATTGATATGGAAATCTCTGGACTCATCATTGGACTCAACCATACTGCTTGTGTCGCTGCACAGATCCCGTGTTCCCCAGCTGACCACTCCAATCTGTGAAGAAGAAACAAATCTATCATCTCAGTCATTACTTTGATTGACCTGTTCTTTCTACTCCATGTTTATGATGATAAATTACTTTCTGCTCTTTACCTGGATTGTCCGCAGGTTGAAGTTCTTGAACACAGCACCGCCAGAATCCCCTGTCCCAAGAGTTTTCCACAGACAGAGTTACCAAACTGGACCACCATTGTTAATCATGTTGAAAAGAGATAAGAGTATACCCACCTTTGCATGCTATGTCTTCTCTTTGATATTCCTGACCACCAGTACACAAGAAGTTATCGGTCACAGCAACGCTTTCATCTTTTGTGGTGATTCCTGGTGCCATAAGGGCTTTTTCGATGCACAAATCTCTCTGCAATAAACCATTCAAGCATCAAAGAAATATAACGTTGGCAAACAAAGCATCTCATTTATATAAAACTTACGTTTTCATTAAGCTTGGCAAAAGCAGTTTTTTTTGCTACCAGCGGATCCTTCTTTGTTAGGAAACTGAGTTGCTCACGGGAATTCGTTAACAGGCGCTGCTCTGTTAATTCAGAACACAATCATTTGTAAAGGGCCTCCATTTTGACTCATATCATAACTTGACAGTCTTCCTCTATAAAACATTTTCTAAATGTATAAAATGCCTTGCTCCATGAGACTTCATTTTTTCAGAAAACCAAGGAAAGAAAGTGTGCCATCTTTAAAGAGCCATAGGGCTAATTTGTTGAAAAAAAAAACTATTTTCTTTTTTTAGAAAAAAGTTACACTTCAGAAAAACAAAGTTCAATGCAGTTCTTTGGCAGAAATATGTGTACATTCAATAGTAAGCTTTTGAAGTCTCTTTATTACAGTTTGCTGTAAACACAGGGTGAACAATTTTAAATCTCAGAATCATATTTTGAAGAGCTTCTTACCATACAGGTTGATAATATAATCTTGCATACATAATAATAATAATAGACTGAGTAAGTGTAGAAATTAACCTCAGAATGAGAAGAAATGCTCATAGAAGATTGCCTTTGTTTTGCATAACTGTAAATTAAGTTTTTGAAAGTTTACAACCTAACCAGGACAAAAATGATCTAAAGGTTATCACATTTCACATGATGGCTTTGCACCTCATGATAATAATGTGTCAGTAAGTAAGTTTCTTATGTTGTTTGAGTTGAGATATTTTGAATCAAAAAGTGATGTGGAAACAACATGCAGCCTCAACAATCAGGATGTTCTCACAATATTTTGCTATAATTGTGACCCATTCCTCCTAACAGATTCCTGGTGAATCGGCTTTCCTCAAACCTTTGAAAGTCTTTGGAAATGCGATCAGGCATTTTCAAAGCCTCTCAGAAGCAATGACTTTGTTTTTGTTACGGCCCTTTTTCTAAATGTTTTGGTGGTAAGTTTAGGGCCATTCTCAATTTGACAACATAAGACATAAGATTTTTTATTTGTCTTTATATTTCTAGAGCATAACGAAACTGTAGTGGTACCTGTGGTGATAAATATATAAATAGATAAAGTTTTAATCAGTCCTTAGGCTGCAGAAAATGGGTGTGAGTATGTGAAAGATCTATTTGTTCCCATGGTGTATGCTGATGCGATATTTCAACTTAATGTATTCCCTCCTTTTGCCAACTATTTTGTGAATTGGATCAGTCCCTTCTTTTGATTGCCATGATGTAGCACAAGGAAGCTAGGTGTGTTTCCTTGAAATGCATCTGCAGACGTATCTCCATTGAACTAAAATAATCATGAAGTGTTAATGCCTGATTTGAAGTGTACATAGCAAAGGAGCCAAACCCCCAGACCTTGTTGTTTGCATGTTGACTCGCCAACCAGGTTGAGAGCGTCGCTGGTCTCCTGGGTGCAGGGTATGCATATTGGTCTGAAAGAAATTTAGGTTTTTGAAGAAGGAATGTGAAAATTGCTAAATCAATAAAATAATCTAACTTTAGCCATATTATTTAAAGACAAAGATGTTAAATACCTTACAGAGTCAGAGATCTTCACTGGAATTTCCAGTCGGATAATGGCCAAGTCATAGTCATAAAACTCTGGCACGCCTTCTTTGACTTTGGCCGTTAAGTTAAACAATGGATGAAGCGTGAAACTTTTCACTCTTTTAACTGCATAAATAAAGATTGAGCATGTGCAATAATTAATTATACAAACTGATTAAAATAGTCAGAGAAATTTTGTTACAATGGTGTGTTCAAATAACAGTATAATAATCTATAATAAATGTCTAATTCTTCATATGATATTAAATGGCGACAAAATGGAAGCTTGTTTTGACAAAGTGAGAAGGAAAGTAATTGATATTTACCGCTGCTGCCCACTCCATCTTCAATTTCAACTGTTATATCCGCTACCTCATCTTCAAAGGTGAAGCAATGAGCAGCAGTCAGGACAAAGTCCGGCGACACCAGTGACCCAAGGCAAGATTTTCTTTTTTTTCCCTGAAGTTGTACAGAACAGACAGTGGACAAAGTGTATGCTGTTAAACCAACATGACGCTTTGCTAAAATAAAGATGTAACATAACTCTAACAGAACCATAAATAAACAGTGCTGCAACTGATACATTTTATGGCATTTTGATGCTGTTTTGCTGTACAATTAATTAACTAAATTGTTGAATTAGTCACCTGGTTAACAAACGCCAACCATGGATATTGTTTCTTTCTGCTTTCTCTATTTTCCAGGTTATCATAATCCTTGTGCAGGCCACACAGACCTACAACTTCACTTTCATCTGCAATAAGAAGAACAAATAAGAAACTCAAATACATGGTTAGTGTAAATAGTAAACAAACAGTATTTAGAAAACAAAAATAAATATTTAAACTGTTAAGGAATTAAAAAAACCCCCCACAAATTTAGAGCCTATTGCATTAAATTAAAATATTCCACTCAGGTCCCCTGAGGGGCTTCATCACATCCATCCCCATCAGAAGAAAACAGCTCTCTTCCTGACTACTTTGGGAAACTAGAGAACCATTCAGAGCCCCATTTAAGATCACTTACCTCCCCGAGCTAAATTAGTGTTAAATGAAGAATTACAGGAATTATACCAGCACACACACGCAGACACGCACGCAAACACATGCACATCACAGCTGACAAAAAAATAAAACAGAGGCTTTTTACAGCTTTCCCTTTTCAAAGTTGACTCACCAATTATTGAATCAAAGGTCTCCTTTAATTTTGATGGTTCTGGCATCCTGAAGTAATGATCTCCTCCTGTTCCTACAGTGAGTGGCTGCAGGTCGTCGTCAAAAATCACTTTCCCAATGGCGAAGATATAGATGTCTGCAAAACGGTGTTACTTTGTAAGTTTGTGTTTCATTTATATTGCAGATAGTAATGCACCCTGCAAAAGTATTCACACCCCTTTAACATTTTTAAATTAAATCACATTACAATAAACTTAAATGTATTTTCTTGAGATTTTACGCACCAATTCAAAATAGTGCATGATTGTGAAATTGTGGAAAGTGGTACACTGTTTTAAGCTCTTTTTAATACAAATGAATAACTAGAAAGTGATCAAACATATAATTCAAGCTCCCTGTGTCAATAATACTTACAACAGTGTACAACAGTATAATGAACAAACATGCTTTAGGGCTTAATTGTGAAGAGATTTATGTATGGGTCTTATTTTTTCATATCTTTTGCAGCATCATGGGAAGGTATTTTTTTAGAAGATACTGAGAACCTTGACTGATAGAAGGAGCAAAATATAGACCAATCTTTGAGGAAAACATTTTAGAAGTTGAAAGTATTGACTCAAGAGGGGTTGAGTACAAATGCAAGTTTTGGATTTCTTAAAGATTTTTGAAACACATGAACACTAAGCACTATTTTTTGTTAACCAGTCAAATAAAATCCCTATACAATACACAGAAGTTTTGGCTGAGACTTCATAAAGCAACAGTAAAATGTCTAGATCACCCAAGTCACGATGTTTAAAGGAGATTGGAATATGCTGAAAACTAAACTTACCAAGAAAGTCATCTCTTGCGCCAACGTGGTTCTTCACAGTGTGATTCATATAGACTGTGTTCTTTATTCTGGCAACAGTAGGCGCAGGAGAACCACCCATGTTATACGCACCTGTGGAAAAGGTCTTGCTTGTAAAAGTTTCAGATGTAAAAAACATACATTTATTGATATCCCTAAATATATGTGAAAATATGTCTTCTTTTAATGTTTTTGTTGATTTACAAAGTAACAAGAAAAGAAATGTCAGCAACAAAATCAGATGTCAAAATTGTTTTTAAATAAAATCACCGGTGCCACAATTATTTTTCAGAATCAGGTCTGAGGCTAGAGAAATGAGAAACACCTGAATAAGACAAGAAAATGTAACATTTTGTTGAAGATCTTGTCTGAGACTAAGTTTTAAAATAATAGAATTTATTTCAATACATTTTGCTTAATATGTAATCCCTTGGAACTTAAATGCATAGATTTTTTATTTTTTATTTGCATTGATCAAAGACTGAAAGAATAGGAAATTATTAACATTTTAAATCTATCATGAAACCAATAACTTGGCCGAGTTTTATGTCTTTAGCCGAAGGTACTGAAATATAGGAAATAGACTTTTTACCAAGGATATCAGTAAAATGTGGAAAGCAATGTGTGCAATATGTGTGATGTGGGCTTGTTACCATCTGTGAAAAGGATCAGGACATGCCGATGAGTTTTAAATCTCTCGTCTCCAGCTTGTCGCTTTATGTAAGCCATCTGTTTCTCAAAGTGTTTGAAGACCATGTTCAGATCTGTTCCAGTGTTTGTGTCTTTAAACCAAATGCCACAAAAACACAGATGTTAAAACAGAGTCCAGGCAGGTATTTAAAACCTTTTTATAACCATTATCTTGTGCTCGGGGTAGACTCACTTCCTGCTTCAAACTTTTTTAGGTCTTCTATGACTTTATTAAGTTCCACTGTGGCATTGAAAAAATTGTGAATGTTGACGACCTGGTATAATTTAGATGAGAAGAAAACGATTTCGTAGTTTGGAGAGACACTGAAGGAGGCGATCTGTGGAAAACAGCAACAGTTGAAGTGCGGCGGACACATCTTTATGAGCAGAAATTAACTTGAACAATTGCTGTGAAATACTTTGTTAATCCCACGTGCCTGATACTTTAAATTGCTTATGGTAGTTATTCTATAGAGAAAGCTATGCATTTATCAGCTGGGTGCTTTTCCAGAAGCGGACTTTGACAGCGGGCCAAGGGCCTTGTGCCAAGGAACATCAGTCAAGATTATGATTTGTAATTCATAATTAAATTTACCTCTAATGGGCTGCTGCTGTGGCAGCCAAAGGGAACAAGAAACTGTATGTCAAATGAGCCTATAAGTGCATGGAAGCACTGAATAAAAGCTTCACACACAATCAGACCCGATTGAGTATTTTTAGAAAGACGGATTCTCATTTACATGTAAAAATTGTCTACTCTGTGCTATAACATGTCTTTTGATTAATTTCATAGATTGAATAAATGTCCAGGCATAGTAGCACTAACTGCTATGTTTCTAACCTTCTTTAAGAGCTCAGCAAATTTATTGCCAGCACCCATCAACAGCAGTCTGTGGTCTCACCCTGTGAGCATCCTCAGACCCCTAAACTCCACCCGCAATCAGCAGAGCCATCACAGAATAACTGCCGTCCAAGCACTATGCTGCTGAGTCTCTGCACACTCAGCGCATCGTAAGGCAGAGGGAGCTCTAAGGCAATTGACCTTTCCATTAGAAAATAATATAAAACTTTTAATATGACCGGCTGATGACACCTAAATGTCTCTGTCTTTAGCGCAATTTTTTTAATGAACAGTAAAGTTTATGATGCCGATCATTATTGTGGACTGCACAAATGCTTTGTGAATTTATTCTATCACCATGGGGATTTTTGCACTGCAAATTTAAAAAGGGGTGATGCAAGGAAAGTAAATATTTTGTGAATTTGGAATGCCTACAGTTGTGCAGGGAAAAGGAATATCTTTTAAATTATTCTGCTGCTGAAGAAATGTTTTAAGGTCATAAATACTGCTATTTTTACGTGTGGGTTTTCATTTTGTCTTCCAGCATCCTCATAGTTATTTTTATTTCAGACAGGAATATTCCTCATAGGTTTTTGTCACATTTGTTTTCTCTCCTAAAAATATAACTGACATCTTTTTTTCTTGAAGACATCCTTACCTTTTCAATCAGAGTTATGACAGCGTCTCTTGCTGTCTTAAAATGGTCTTTTTCTATGCTTTCAGAAATGTCCACACCTATGTAGATGTTGAGAGTCCCATTTTTTGAAATCCTGATTGATCTCCCTTCTTGGGTATCATCTGTGTAACAAGAGGTTTTATGAAAGAGCCACATTCATACAGTTGTTTTACCTATGCAATCAAGAATAATTAGCAATAAATATATTTTTTTCATGCCATATGTCATGTCACTCTTAGTCATGTTTAACAAAAGTTGAGGTACTTGTTTCTAAGACATTGCAGTTGTAGTTTCAAATATTGTCATAAAATAAAGTCCAGGAACTTACCAAGAGATTGTGTAGAGGTGAGAGTGCCTTTAATCGCACTTCCAAATGATTCTGCAACCTCACGTGGGGTATCAAATGTGTGCTTGTCTGAAAGAAGTAGCAGCAAAATAAAACACAATTTAATTCAATTGGTCTTTTCAAAAAAGGTGTGCATGAAAGTTGGCTAGTCCACTGGCCTATTCCTGTGTTGACCCTTTTCAACTACGTCATTAATTATTGCAGGCACCATGACGGACATCGGAAGTGAGGGACGGGAGCATTGAACATAGTGACTGAAATTGTTTTCCAAAATTGTTTTTGCCAGTTTATTCATAGCTTCTACTTAGACTTAGACTTGTACTTTATTGATCCCTTGGGAAGACTCCCTCAGGAAATTAAAGTTACCAGCAGCTTACAGGCAGAAAAGTGGCACACAGTAAGTATATGCAAAAGAATACAAAAAAATACAAATTAAATACAAGGAACACAGTAAATGTAATAAGAATATAAATACAAAACAAAGAATATAAATACAACACAAAAGGAAAATATAGCAATTTGGTGGATAGATTGACCAGTGATATGGTATTGCACTGTATGGTTAGGAGTAGTTTTCACATTTGTAGAAAACTACTCCTTCCTCCCTCTGTCCTGTGTCACCTCCCACCCCCCAATGAGGAGTTGTACAGTCTGAAGGCGTGGGGGACAAAGGAGTTCTTGAATCTATTGGTCCGGCACTTGGGAAGCAGCAGTCTGTCACTGAACAGGCTCCTCTGGCTGCTGATGACGGCGTGTAGAGGGTGGCTGCTCTAGTCAATCTAATTTGTCTGTGAACATAACACACCAGGTTTGGGCTCACAGACGGCGATATTTGTAAAAGTTGGAAATAGCTTAGAAACCGACCCAAACCTCCTCCCTCCTGACATGTTAATCAAGTTAATGACTGCCTGAATTCACGCCATGGTTTATATCACTTGTCATTACGTCCCGTACAGTGGCACAGTCTTAAAAACGTACAAAAGGCAAGATGCTAATCAGTTTTATATATAATTACCAGTGACCATGGTATTATCTCCATGGTTACTAATGGTTAGACACATACCTTCCCCATAGTTGAAATTTTTCTAATCATAGTTACCTGTAAAGTATATGAATGTTCATCTTCTTACCTTGTAAAGAAGTGTTTGATGCAAATGTGTGATAACACGGAAGGCTGACAGTCATTATTGTTATTGACAGCAACTTTCCATTGTCGCCATATCTTTCCTCATTAAAAGTTATAAGATAAAATGACATGTTTGATTTCTGTCCTTGTCTGTTGGTGCAGGGCCCTGTGACCAGTTTTAAAGTGAGATCAACTAAAGAGAAGCATTATGAGGCTACCAATCTGTTTTTAGACTAGTTTTAAAGGAGTGCATTTCCGTCATGGTGGAGTTCTGGAGAGCGTGACGTCACATGCAAAAGGTCAACAGGTCAATCTTTATTTAGTTCAGAGGACTCTAAAGCACTTCGCATTCATGCAGTCATTCACATGACGATTTTAACAAGATGACTTCATTTTAAAGGAGTAATAATAATAATTATTAATATAAAATTAACAGATCTTACAGTAGCATGCTGGCTCTGTCCCGGTCCACTGTCCGTTCTCCAGACACACCCTTTCTTTGGAGCCCACCAAAAACAGTTCGCCATTGCAGATGTATGTCACTTTGTCATCAATCTCAAACATATTTCCTGCTCTTGAGGCTCCAGGTGGGATTCCAGGATCAGGACAGGCAGAACCGGCTGGGAAAAACCAGAAATGAAACTCAGTCCCTGACTGTTATTTCTAAAAAGAAAAGGAAGGTTTGAAGTCTTATTTCCTGAAATGTATTGGTGTAGTGTATTCTCTATTACATTTATCTACATGTTTTCAACCTTAATCGTCCTCAGTTTCCTGGCACCATTTTTGAAAGCTGCATTAATAAGGATAGTGACTTCTTCTTTGTTTTCCGATTGTAGTAGCGATTGTTTGTTAAACCAAACATCCAAAAAAAAGTTCCATCCGCCACTGACCCCAGTGCCTCATAGTACTGGGGTCAGTGCCTCATAGGTCTTTTACTGACCCCAGTAAAAGGTCTTTTACTGACCCCAGTAAAAGGTCTTTTGCTGACCCCAGTAAAAGGTCTTTTGCTGACCCCAGTAAAAGGTCTTTTGCTGACCCCAGTAAAAGGTCTTTTGCTGACCCCAGTAAAAGGTCTTTTGCTGACCCCAGTAAAAGGTCTTTTACTGACCCCAGTAAAAGGTCTTTTACTGACCCCAGTAAAAGGTCTTTTACTGACCCCAGTAAAAGGTCTTTTGTGACCTTTTACTGGGGTCAGTGCCTCATAGTGGCACTGACCCCAGATGCAGGCGAAAGAAGTTTAAGGTGCAAACTTGATGATTGTCTTGGTAGCTTTTATTTTCCTTTTATGCAAGCAATTACAATTATCCAACTTTTCTTTGTTCTCCTACCTCTCTTGCACTGGTAAAAACCATAGGCCCCAAACCCAAATGCCTGCTGGTCCTTTACCAGGCCCCTACATTTATAGAACGTGGACTGACCCACCTTACTTCCTGTCTGGTTTACAAATAATAAAAAATAGAAAAAAATAAGAAAACGAAGCAAAAAATAAAATCATTTATTAACCTGCAAATAAACTCTGTAAATAATGCAAAAATTAAAAGTTTAAGAATAAACTAACAAAATTCAAATGGATAAAGAAATAAAGAAGAAATAGCTCCAACAAAGATGTTATCACATCAAAAGGTCTCAAATACTGATTCTTAGCCCATTTAATTCACTCCTTACACATGGGTTTGTTCCATATGAAAAATCTCTACACAACCAAAAAGTAAACAAAGCAAAACAAAGCAAAAAACAATGAAATGTTGCTCAACACTTACAGTCACGGCTGCAGATTGGAGTGGAGCCACTCCACTTCCCATTTGGTAAGCAAATTCGTTTGGATGATCCTCTCAGTGTGTATCCAGAGTAACACTCATATGAAGTCTCATTCCCCACAAAGTACTGGACCTCAAGAGGAAAGACGTCTCCATTCTCCAGAACATTAGGATCAGGGCATTCAACAACTTCAGGAAAATCAACAAAAAGGAGTCAGAGTTGTTACTTTGATGAAGCCTGGCGTAAATTATGAATTATGAAAGTTGTGGTGCTCACGTTTGCATTTCTGTGGCATAAACCTCTTGGGTGCTGGTTTCCAGGAGCCGTTTGGCTGGCAGATGCGGGTCAAAGCAGGGTACGGGTAGTACCCATCGTTACAGCTGTAGATGAGTAAGCTCCCGCTTGTCAACTCCTTGGTCAGTGTAAAATTACCACCCTGGATTTCTATACCATTGGGTGTGCAATCACAAAGAACCTCAGCACCTAAGCAAAAAGATAAACGTTTTTGGTTTTTGGTTCAGAGTTTATGTTTTTGTGTTTAATTAAAAAAAAAAACAGGCACACAACTACATGGTGTATGCTTCACTGTATGGAATGGATTTCACCCAAGGAAAGGTTGAAGTTCCATTATAATATAATATAATATAATATAATATAATATAATATAATATAATATAATATAATATAATATAATATAATATAATATAATATAATATAATATAATATAATATAATATAATATAATATAATATAATATAATATAATATAAGATAATATAATATAATATGAGCACCTTAATCTATAACATTGAAGTGAAATATTGTGTGAAATATTTTCTATATTAATTCTTGTCTTTTTATTATTTATTTATGTATTTGTTACTTTTTCAGTTTCTCTAAAATATATATATGTATTTATTAAACATTTGCACTTCAAAATTCTTTTTACATAAAAGTTAATAATAATAATAATAATAATAATAATAATAATAATAATAATAATAATAATAATAATAATAATAATAATAATAATAATAATAATAATAATGTTATTTCCTATTAATATTATCATTGGTGATCGATTGCCAAAAACAACTGAACTTGTGAACCTGTTCATATGTTCGTAGGTTCACAGGTAAACCTATGAACCTGCATTCATAGGTTTACCAGGATACTGTAATCTTCAGTATTTTAACAGTAATGTTCACTGAATGAATAAACATTTTTTCTGGTTAAATATGTTAGAACCTTATGCTAACTTTTTTTGTACTTAAATCAAGGATGTTAATTTTCCAGGCACATGATGATCATTCCATAATTCCAGAATCTGACTTTTTAAATTTGTAAAATAAACTTTTAGGCTCTGATGATGTCCAACAAATTTCACACATTTCACTCTAATGTACAAGAGAGACACCTGGACAGTCCTGAAAACCTGGAGTTATAAACAAATTAACATGCAGGTATTGCATGTTAATGATAAATTCTTACCAAAACTGAGGAGACACAAGAGTGCAGCATACCAGCTCCAGTTGCTCGAAGCCCCCATGTTTCAGTCTGAGAGAATAAACTGGAAATGTGATAAAATGGCAGGAATATCTAATTTATTTCAGAGTGAATGAGCTACAAGTGGGGTGGAGGTACAAGAACAAAAAAACTAGTCTGTTACTCATTACCTGTGTGAGCAGTAAAATGAGATCAATATGTGTGTTTCCCCAAAACTTTTCAGTTTAGAGTACTTTGTTTAAAGTGCGTGCCCAAATACAACAAAGAAAAAAAGGATAACTCGTAAAAAATAAAAATCAAGATGGCTTAGATAACTATGAATAATCATGCTTTTTGTGGATTTCCTCCTTAATTTTCTGGAACTATTCTAAAATCTTTTCCTTTCTCTTTAAATTTTTGGTTTTCCCATTATGTGTACATGCACAGGGTCACACGTTGCACAAAAATCAAAGTATTGTGAAACAGAGATAAAGTACAAACATTTGCCTCATCATTTCCCAAAAACGAAGGCACATTTGAGTTTGTTGATTAACTTGTTGATTTAGGCCAACACAAAAACAATGTGCCCTTATACACTGTTTTTGAACAGTGAGGCTCCTTCTTAGAAGGAGCGTCTTCTTTTGATGTTGATAATTTATTGTCAAAAAATGCTGGATGCTGAAGTTACAGGAAAACTGAAATATATTTTTGAATTTAATGAAAAAGATTTTTCAGTTACGGGTATAATTTTTATGCACAGATTTTTCTCAATATTTTCTTTTTGACTTGTATGATTTCCAGCGCCATCTTGTGGAGAAATCTCAAAACCCCGTGCAATCCGACTAATGAGATGATTTAAGTCGGCAGTACTTGCATTGGTGTTTGTTTTTCATTCTAACCAAATATTAATGAGAAGGATGATTAATTAGTGCAATTTAGTTAATCTTCCCTTCACAAACTTATTTTGTCAGTTTGCTAAAATTATTTACTTATTTTATTTTATTTTATTTTATTTTATTTACTGCGACAGAGGGCAACAGCGCATCGACCAACGTTCTTCTAGCGGAAATGACGAAGCTTTGCGGAAGTTGCGTCCGGTAAAACAACAAGGCGCCAAATTTACGCCAAGATTTTCTAAAGCTTCCACCGCTGACACATGACAAGGATATTTTAGTCTTTCGCGAACCGCCTTGTGCGAAAACTGCAGCTGAAGTTTATGAGGTACGATGAAATACACAGATACTTAAATTACTTTTTTCTTAAAATGAATGGAGACTTTTAACATCTCGCGTTCTTCCTAGCATGTCTAGGAATGACAGGCTTTAGGAATGACAGGCTTTACACAGTTTCACAGTTGTTAATGAGATGCGGAGTTCTTGTTTGACATGTGTTATTAAAACGTGTTTCTGTCTACATGCAGCATGGCGATCCCTTTTGTGCAGGACTGGGACGTCGTTCAGACTCTGGGAGAAGGAGCTTATGGAGAGTAAGACTGAGCTGTTTTATATTGTTACTGTTTACTTTGCCGTCAAAACTGTAGATTGGGCGTATTTATCCACTCGAAAATGCAAATCATGTGTTAGATGTTGTACTCTCTGAAATATAGATGTTTTGCAATGTCTCTGAATATTTTTATGCATATCGGTAAAAACTACAATACAATTTTCGTTTTTCCACACAACTGATTTTCTTTTATTTAAAACATTTTTATGTGCCTCATAATTTAACCACTTTTTTTATTTTTTTTACTGATTTTGTCAGAGTGAGGTTACTGGTGAACAGACAGACTGAAGAGGCAGTGGCAGTGAAGGTGATTGACACTTCTCAGGCTAAGGAGTGTGCAGACAATGTCAAAAAGGAGGTCTGCATCCATAAGGTAGGCTGCTTATTTTGCACTTTAAGCCTCACAATCTACACATTTTAACACTTTTTCTCTGTAAGATGCTCACCCACCCCTGCATCGTCAGGTTCTTTGGTCATCGAAAGGAAGGACAGACTGTTTATCTTTTTCTGGAGTATTGCACCGGAGGAGAGCTGTTTGACCGCATTGGTAATGGACAAGTTGTTGCAGAATGTTTTTGTGAGATTTATTCTCAGTATAAATTTGCATCTACAACCCTTTGTGGAAGTGCTAAGATCTCTTGAAAATGTTCACATTCTATCACATTTCATCCACAAATTTTAATGTATTTTATATGGATTTAATGGACAGATATGTGCTGCAACAACATATCATCTTCCTATTTATGCACTTTGTTGTGTTGTTTTATCACATAAAAACCCAATAAAATGTATTAGATATGCATTAGATGCATATAATTTTTATTCACCATGTTTAAGCCTTTTTGGGGTTCTTTCTGTTGTTAGAGCCTGATGTGGGGATGCCAGAGAAAGATGCTCATAGGTTTTTCAAGCAGCTAATAGCCGCTGTGGTGAGTAAATTCAGACTGTGAAAGTTTGAAAAATCTACATGTGTTTTAAAGATTTTGTTCTTCCTTTGTTTTCACAGGAGTACCTTCACAACCTTGGCATCACCCACCGAGATATAAAGCCAGAGAATATTTTGCTGGATGATAAAGGTGAGGAAATCAAATGTGTGCAAATTGGAGTTCATGCTTCATATATTTATATATCATGAGGTGTTTTCTTTCCTCTTAGACAACTTGAAGCTGACAGATTTTGGTCTGGCCACCATGTTTCGTTTCAAAGGGCGGGAGCGCCTTCTGAATCGACTCTGTGGAACGCTCCCCTACGTTGCTCCAGAGCTTCTCAGCCAGCAGGAGTACAAAGCTCAGCCTGCAGATGTCTGGGCCTGTGGGATCGTTCTGACTGCAATGCTGGCAGGAGGTGAGACACAAATGGTGCTTTAAGCCTGCAGGTACTTCCAGTTTTTGGGAAATTATTGATTCCTCAAGTTTTGCATTTTACCCACAGTCATCATAATCAGATACATTTAGACATCTTGAAAGGTGATTAAATCAATTGTTGATTAAAAATCAAGAAAAATAAAGCTGTGTTACTCAAATTGTACAGTGAACCTTAGCTCTATGTGAGATTATTTACAATTGTCATTATTACTATTAGTATTATCCATACATTTTCTTGTCTCATGAGGATTAGCTTATAGCTATCCTGTCTATGTAATGTAATTTATTAAACAGGCACATGAATAATATAACATGGTTGCATGGTTTCAATTACACATTTTTGATAATTATTGAGTCAGTAAGTTATATATACCATTAAATTGAGATAAGAGGCAAGACTAAATAAGTGTTCACTTCTTCCTGCTCCTTTTCAAACATAAAAGAAGTAGTAAACACATTATTTTGTTCTTGGTTATGTATTCACATGTTTTTTTTTCTGTCCTACTGATTGCTTGTTCTCTTGTTTTTTAAAAAAAATGTTTGAAATAAACAAACAAATACAAATAAAGTTTGCACCTTTATTAATCAGGGTTTGTCACTTTATCAATGTGAAACAAAAGTGATGAGATGGAAATGATCTGTTTTTTTTCTTTGTAATCTGTGTCACAAATGATCTAGAGGATTTTCCGTGACTTGCTGCTGAGGTACAGAAACCTTTGGTCAACGTGTTTGTTTTTCTTTATCAGAACTGCCCTGGGATCAGCCCACCGAGGGCTGCCAGGAATACTCAGACTGGCTCCAGAAGAAGACTTACCTAGCTCCCTGGAAGAAAATCCAGCCGATGCCTCTTTGTAAGACTCAGACTATATTCTGGGAAAAAAAATGCACTGCATCTGACATGGATTGCAATATTTTTCTTACTAAAATGTATTTAGCTTTATTAATTCATATTCTGCAAAGATACAGGTAGAACTCACTTATAAAGTCATCAATCCTTCAGTAATTAAATTTTAAAAAATATTTTGTTTTGAGCATTTTTTATGAACGGCATTTAATAGTAATGGCAGAAAGTATTGTATTTCCGAATTATGCAATTTTCTCATTGAATCTTGAAAAGCTGGATAATCAGTTTTAAATCTGAATAACTGTTAAAAAAAGAGTTTGTAGACTTTATTCCCCATTCCATACATTAAAATGTTAAATTTCAAATATCTGAAATATAAAGTATGTTTTAAATTTTTTTTAAACAATGTCTTCTATGTTTATTTATATCACAATTTAACTTTTTGCCAAACTCATTGATCAAATGCTTTGTATTAAAAAATGTTATAAAATCTGCAGGTTAGATTCTTGTATTTTTTCGTAAATTTCCTTAGGTTTGCTGTCCAAATTGCTGCAGCCCCGTCCTGATGCAAGAGTCGTTATCACAGACATACAGAAGGATCGCTGGTTTACTCAAGGCAAGCATGATTTAAACTTTTACCTTTCAGGCTTCATGTAGCATTAGATCAGCATAATTTTTTTCAAAAAGAGCAAATCATTTCTTGTGTTGTATTTTATGTTAATAGACATAAAGATGAAGTCAAATTATTGTACAGTTAGAGCAAGTTTAACTTCTTAATTTGCTTTTATTCACTCTCTTTAAAGACGAAAAGGGGTTTAGTTTTTTTCAGATGTTATTTTAATCATGTATCTTAATGGGTTAATATTCACAGGGCTGATTTCTGTCTTCTGTCCTCTAGGTTGTCAGAAATCAGGATCCAATAAAGTTCTTCGAACGGAGTTGGAGCTTAAATCCCGGACAAACAGGTCCAAGCCTTGGAATAAAGTGATGTTTTCGAAAAGATTTGGCCGAAATACTATTTATTTATGATCTTTCCATGTGTGTAGTGATGACAGGATGCAGTTTTCCAGCTCTCAGCCTGACTTTGCTCCAGGTGGATGGGAAGCCATGTTGTTGATCGGCCCGACTGAAGGGAAGGTCTGCTTCTCCCAGCCGACTAAACCTGAGCACATGTTGCTGGGCAGTCAGCTGTTGGGCACGCCCGGAGCCAGTCAGGTACGGCGCATTCAGAAAATATTGCAAATGTATTAAAAATGAACAAAATTCAAAAAATTTAATACTTTGTTGATGAAGTTTCTTTGTTTTTTTCTGTAAATAGTCACTGTGGCAAAGATTAGTCCGACGAATGACTCGCTTCTTTACCAATGTGAATGCCGAAGACTCCTTATCTGCCCTGAAAGACGTCTGTGACGGCATGGCACTTGTCT